TCCACTCCTGGCAAGACAAAACCAAGGTGACGGGACATGGGCATAAATGAGGTCACACATACAGTTGTCGCATATGCATCGGGCTTTCGGTAAAAAACCTCGAATCGTATTAAAAAGAGTTGTAAGAAACAGGAGGGAGATTTGCTATATGAAGAATCAAGGCGCGGAATCGTCGTGGGACAAGTTATTTCAGAGTCAATCAATCTTTCTCCTATCCAATAATCTGCCAGTACCGAGTTTGTGCTCAGTCGACTGAATATATTGAGCTGGGGTGCAGTCACTGGCATGTCTTAAATCCTCAGCACGACGAAGTACCCCATTTTCCGGCCCACTTCCGGTTTGATGATGATGATGCGTACTACTTTGTTTTTTTTGGGCATAAATACCTGTTTAACCAACCAGCAAGTTTGTAGCCAAGTTCAACATCTGTAGCTGCTAGTCACTGCATATTCTTCTTGCGTGCGGATTGAGTTCGAACCGAAGGGCGCTTTTCTAGTGTCATGATACCTCTGCGTTGCTAGCAACTGCTGTTCTTTTGCTGACGAATATGTCGGTTCAGGGCGCGCTCGCGCATTTAGACAAAATTTCAGTTGTCTGGAATATTTAAGTAATGCGCCCCACTTCTATCGAAGTCAGAGGAGGTTTCATGCAGGATATGTCTCTCTGGTGCTGCTAATGATTAAATAAAAAGACTGGTGTATTAGGGTATCCTACCAGGTCTTTTTGTTCCTGGTGTTTGGTCTACATGGCTCATGCACTCATCAATACTTATTATGTCTCTTGAAACGTGAAAATTATGCGCTTGCTCATAATAGGTAAGTTGTATCAGCCTAAAAACGTGTTGTTGCTTTCTGAGAGCGTGCAACAGTCTGCTGTATTCCATCGCTGTAAGCAGTTGCGCAGCAGGGTTCAGTGTGAGTACGTCGTTTCGCAGTTCGCAAAGATCTAGATAGTCAGCCGCCACAAACGATAGCCTGACCCGTTCTTTTTAATGCCACTGCGGTCATTACCCAATTGAGGGTCTTTTTTTCTCCGACCAGACGTGAAGGCTGGCGAGACTCCGAAAGTCAGACCATCACGTTACTCAAATCAGTCTTTTGTAGCGAAATTGATCTCCTCTGCAGCTTATTACCAATTTGCTTAACTCATGTGGGGAATGTCATTTTGAATCCCAGGAGTCCTAACTGCTTCATAGTTGCCAATAGTGAAACCGTCGATCATAGAAAGACATCTTTGCACGTGGC